GAGGTGTGGGAGATAAACAGATGGGCTAGTTGGTAAAGAAATGGTTGGATGATGAATGAATGAATAGGTGGGAAGTAACTAAAAGGATATATGAGTGGGTGGATGGACAGATGGATAAAGTAATGGATGGACAGAGGGATAGATGGATGGATAGATGGAAAAATGATAGATGGGTGAGTGGGTGGTGCTTGTGGCTGGCTGGATAAATCAACAAGTATATAGGCTGACAGGTAAGTATGTGAAAGGATGTATATATGGACAGATGCATTAATGAGGGCTGGACAGATGGATAGATGGACAGGTAAAGATGAATGAATATATACAGGATAGATGGGTGGATGGATGAATGGATGGATGGATGGGTTAATGGATGGATGGATAGATGGATGGATGCGTTGATGGATAGATGAATTGGTGTATACAGGGCTTGATAAATAGATGGATGTATGAAGGAACAGGGGCAGCCATGCTTGATCAGAAGATAGATGCTATCTTTTGGCCAAAGTTCACGGTCAAGCTATGAGCTCTAAACTGTGGTGTGCTCCCCTTTGCCACATAAACTGTAGCTCGAAGTCACTGTAGTTCTATGCACCGTGAGCGTTGGAGAGATATGGGAGCCCTGGTGTAGCCCAACCTAGTCTGAAGCACACACTGAGTTGGCTTCTTGCTGCCAGGTCCAGGTGAGAGAAGAGAGGTCCTGGTCCCGCTGGGTCTCTCTATGGGGCTGAGCGGGATGGTAAGTGTCGATGGCCCAAAAGAAACACACCGGGCTGGGAGTCTTGTTGAAGCAGGAACTCAACATTAATGGATCAGCCTCTCACTTATATAAACTCGGAGCATAGGGAGGAGGAGTTTCGGTGCGGTGAGATAACGTAGGGGGCGGGGAAGGGTGACGGAGGGTATGGAGTGACTGACGGGGCCAATGGCAAAGCTCTACATCCGCAACAGCTGAGCAGAGGCAGGGCCAAACGGGTCTCGTTGAGTCACTCCGGATGGAAGTGACTGAGACAGATCTCAAAACTCAAGCTAGGCTTAGGCTCTCCCACAAGGCTCAAACCTTGGCTGAAATGGGGCCCAACACACCGTTGACCCCTCCCCAGTACTTGACTGGCCCGTCCACATTTGTGCCATTTCTTTAAACTTTCAGTGGGACTCAAATCTTCCCCTCACGTTTCCAATTTCCTCTGTTCAGATGGCGTCTAAGGCAGGGAGCATGCTTCTCCCTCTGGTCCCTCCCACCCTGTCAATCATTTCTGTGGAAGCACAGCCTGCCTGCTTGGATCGGCAGCCTCACAAAGAGTCATCACGGGCTGTGTGACGCTTCTGGTTCTCAGTGCCATCTTTGATTTATTAAACATTTTTAGTAAAATTTTACATTCGTTTAGCACGTGGAAAAATCCTCTCCCTCCCGTGAAATAGAAAGCCTGAAAGAGAGAGGGAGCTAGAGATTTAGATGTCTAGACTTGCTAGTTTTCTGAATACAGTGTACCAGTATTTTCAAAGCCTCTTCACTTTGAAGGAAGAGGGACCTCTGAGTCCCTCTCTAAAATGAATTTTTAGACATTTTCTGGCATTGCTGGCTTCCCAAAGTACATCTGTATGCTGGCTATGTGTTGTGCCAGCAACAGTCTGGGTTGGCATCAGACTGCCAATAAAACAGCCATTGACTTGCTGAGTTACTTTGGACAAGCTGCTTGATCTTTCTGAGTCTTCTTTAAAAAGTTTTGTGCTTAAATATACACGGTGATATTAGCAACATTTCCCGAAACACAACAGATACTTAATTTGTATTAATTTGTCTTTCTTCTACTTTAAATTTTCTTTTTCCTTTGTGAGACTAGGGACTGATTGAACTCGAGAGAGACCTTGCCTGTTTCAGGTAAGAGCCCTACCACTGTGCTGTACCCCAGCTCCCCCTTTCACCATTGTTTTGAGTCAAGTGTCTCCTTAAGTTGCCAAGGCTAGCCCCAAACTCCCTTTTGTACCCGTGGTTTTGAGCCTATGATCCTCTTGACTCAATTTCCCAAGTCCCGAGATCATACGTGGACCGCCATGCCTGGCTTGTCTGTAATTTCTCATGGATAATGTGCATCGTTCTCCAATGTGGGCACAGCAGCCAATGGGAGTTTTATAAAACTGAGTCAGGCAAGGTGGAGACAGCAACAGGTACTCAGACAGGTGCCGTCCAGTCATGTGATGCCTCTCATCGAACACGCATTTCTCCACCCATTTAAGAGGTCACTGTGTGCTTGGTGCCACTGCGTTCTAGGGAACACCAGAAAACATCTCTGTGGAAAAATCTAACAGATCTACAGACACTCGTGAAACTGGCACCTCACCAAAGTGCCTGCAGGTTGAGGAGGAAGGCATGTGGGAAGAGTGATGGGAACACACAGTGACCATCTGTACTGCCTGGTTTTGTGTGTCGACTTGACACAAGCTGGAGGTATCACAGAGAAAGGAAACTCCCTTGAGGAAATGCCTCCATGAGATCCAGCTGTAAGGCATTTTCTCAATTAGTAATGAAGTGGGGAGGGCCCTTTGTGGGTGGCGCCATACTTGGGTTGGTGTCCTGGATTCTATAAGAAAGCAAGCTGAACAAGCCAGGGGAAGCAAGCCAGGAAACAACATCCCTCCATGGCCTCTGTATCAGCTCCTGCTTCCTGACCTGCTTGAGTTCCAGTCCTGACTGACTTTGGTGATAAACAGCAATGTGGAAGTGTAAGCTGAAGAAACCCTTTCCTCACCAACTTGCTTCTTGGTCATAATGTTTGTGCAGGAATAGAAACCCTGACTAAGACACCATCTATCATGGCAGGCTATGAACCCTTACCCTCAGCAGGCAGTCCAATCACAGACCTTATGTAAAGTGACATTAGTTGTCACATGGGTGATTATCTTCATCGAGTGTGTGTGTGTGCATGCACGTGTGTGTGTGTGTGTGTGCATGCGTTTGTGCATCTAGTACAGGCTTTGAGAGTGTGGATGGAGTTGAGAAGATCAACTTCACTCACAGCCCTTGGTCCTGAGTTTCAGGTTCTTTGTTTGAAACATGGGGGATAATAGGACATGCCTTGTAGAACTGCAACTGTGTGGGTTAGGATGGGCCAAGTTCAAAGTGCTTGGGTTCATCTGTGAACATGAAAGCAGCCCACCCTCCAATGTCTACAGCAGGATCTTCCATGTTACTGTCTCTGCATCCAGTCAAGCAAGCCAGGAAACAGAGTGGGATCCAACGTTACGGTCTCAGGTGGCACCAAGAGCCCAGTTGGTCAGCATAAAGATTATTCAAAAGATACTTCAAATAAATGAACAATACTAAAGGTAAACAGTGATATAAAGGAACGAACAGACGCCATTGCCAGTCTGTGCAGAATAAAATATGTGATAAGAAGGCAGGCTGTCTCCTGCCTTTACTGTGGACATTCAGGGCTATACAATCCTCCCAAGGGCTGAGCTGTGCTTTCGAAACAACCCTTTCCCTAAGTACTGTGAGAACGCCTGAAAAGTCAGCCTGACGACCAACAGGACCTGAGGACCAACAGGAACCTCTCCCTGAGTGGCTTCATGTCTCTGTGCATGTTGTAGAACTGCTTTGTGGGTAAAACCATTCTCTGTGTAGCCAGAGTGAGCAGGGGAGAGGTGTAGCTCCCAACACCTCTTGTCAAGAGTCCCCTGTTGTTTCCGGAGAAGCTTAAGAGACATTGAAGGCATGGTTGACTTCGGTCAGCCTGTAGCCTCTAAAGAGTTTGAAGCTGTGCTTGGCAGATGGTACAGACCTAAGCTTTAGGCTGTCACTTCCTTCCCTATATGTGAAGCTGACAACCAGGTCCCTGAATTTGAGGAGACAGGACAGTGTAACTCTGAATGAAACTCAGTCCATGGGTTAGGTTTAATCTTCTGGAGTATCTCTGTACGTGGAACAAATGAGAGTGACTTCCTCGAACCCCAGGAACCCCAACTGTAAACTATAGTTTATTTGACCCACGGAGACAGGGCTGTTATCTGGGGCCAGCATGGCTCAGGAGGGCAATGCCCTGTGGAAGCAGGCAGCCCATTCTTTCCCTGTTCCTCCTGCTGACTGGCTAGTTCCCTGGACTGCTGCATATTGATCATGGGGTATGACTGTACTCTGTGCCCTGCAGCAGCTTCTGCCGCCGAGTCATCCCTGCTTGTCAAACGGCAGTGGGCAGCTTTGTCTCGTGAGTAGCTCTGCGTTTCTGGAGTTTAAGTCGTCCTCTGACCTACTGACTGAGCTTGCTCTCTGGCAGAGAGGCGTGCGTGCAGAGGGTGTGAAGGAGTCAGCTGAGGCTTGTGCACCTGTCACGTAGCCTCCACCTCAGCTGCAGGCCTGTAGTCATGGCCTGTAATATCTGTGCCTGGACTGACTTGTGGCCCTGCTTTCACTGTGATGGAAAGGCCTTAGAGGTCTGTTGTCACCGCTGCTTGAAGCTCACCCATGGTGCCACACTGTCCACAGGACAAAGTTCAGCTGGGTTAATGTGACACAAGAGGCCCTGCTAATCTGTTTCCAATAGCTTGTTCTCCCTCCCCAGTGCTCCAAGCCCCTCTCATGCCCGTCTCCACATGGGCACACTTCCTCAGCATGTATCCTAATTAGTGTCTTCTAACGTCTCCATTTGAGGAAGGTCCTCTCAGTATCTGGCCTTAGAGAGAGTCACAAACTTCTTCTAATACGTAAGTTCAAAGATTTTATCTTCTTTGTGATTCAGAGGTAGCTCTCCATCCACAGATGGGCCACTTTGGCATCTTGTCTGTCTGTGGCCTGAGGACCCTAGTGGGCCACCCACTCGTGAGGACACTTTAGGTCTGACACTGTGATTGGTTGGTGCCTGATATTGTGAGCTAAAGGTGTAGAAATAGATGCATCACTTTATGGGTGTGTGAGAAAACCTAAGTCTCAGAGGGATGGCTGGGAGGGGAGAAGGAAGAAGGAAGGAGAAAGAAAAACAGCAAGGTGGGCTCAGAAACATGGAGCCCCTGCCCCTAGCGGCCTTGCAGGTGTGGCTGCTGTGTCACATGGGCGTCAGCAGGTGGCAAGAGAGAGGCTATGTCTATGATCTATGGTCTGACCTGTGAACATCTGAATGACTAGTAGCTTAACATTCCCCGAAAAAAAAAAAAAAGAGCCTGAGACAACCACCAGTCTGTGCCAGGCAGGTTCAGATAGGTATCCAGGATGGGAAACAAGCCAGAAACTAGAAGAGCTCTGCCTGGGACTGTGGGCCCTAGGTAGGAGTGAGCCCAAGACAGATGACCCTCACAAGGGGCCTCGTGGGCAGGCCCAGGCGAGGAACGATCTTGAGACAACCACCAGACCAGCACTGTGAAGCCCACACAGGGAGCTAGCCTGAGACGACCACCAGTCCAGGACTGTGTAGGCGTTGTGGAGCAGACCATGAGCAAGATGGCCCTCTGCTTGGCTCCATAATGTTTAGGTAGAGTATAGAACTCTCGAGACCATTTCTGATATGACCCCAGACACTCAGAGACCCAGAGGATGCAGGAAGTGGAGAAGTGAAGAGGAGAGAGGAACAGAAGGACGTGGGCTCAGTGAAGGGAAGCAGGACCAGAGACTTGAGGGTTGTGAGGAACAGCCTGAAGTACTTGTGGTGCCACCTGGGACCATGGTGGGCTCCTGACCTGTGCTGCCTCTGGGGTCCACATCTGGACCCCTGGTCCTGCTGCAGCAGGGATCTGTGACCATTGAAGACTAGGCAGATGTCCCTGGTCTGGGCTGCTACCTGGGTACATATCGATGTCTGAAGGCTGTGCAGAATCGGCTCTACCCCTTACCGGGGCATTGTGAGAGAGCTGGCCCTACTGTTCATCTTCTATGTGGTGGCGTGGGTAAGGGAGAGATAACCACCTACCCTCCCCCGTCCCTTGACACCTTCAGCAGATGGAAGATCTGACCCCAAGGTCATCAGAACAGGAAAGCTCTCCCTGCCCCTCACTTGCTGCAGCACTTGGAGAGTAGGCCCTGCACCTCACCTGGGCAGCAGGGTAGAACTGGCCCTGGCTGCAGGGTTTGCTGGTGCGCTAACTCCAAAAGCATGAGATACTTAGCAGGCTAAGCAGCTAGGATATCTCTCAGGCTCAGATCCAGGGCTTTGCATTGGCTCATCCCAACATCTATCCCATTGATGAAATGCTGAAGCAAGAAGGGGCTGGTCCTACAGATGAAAAACTATGGGACAACATAGGACATCCGAGAGGAGTTCCAGTAAGGATCCAGTACTGATAGAGTAGCACAAGCCAGAGGCCTTGAACCAGACCAATGGGTCATTGCAATGAACATTTGCAAGCAAAGAGGTGTAGACAAAAGGTATACTGTGACACACTATAGCTTCTACCTTTTTTCCTCTGTTATGGGGCAGGATGCAAGGGTAGAGGGTAGGTATGAAGGGAAGGGTAGATGAGTGAGATTGTGGTGTATGATGTGAAATTCATAAAGAATGTTTGGGCCACTGCACAAAAGAAAAAAAAAGGAAAGAAGAAAGAAAGAGAGAGAGAAAGAAAGAAAGGAAAGAAAGAGAAAGAGAAAAAGGAAGAGAGAGACAGCAGCCTCTGGAGTTGGCAGGTCCTCAAGATCTGCCTGAATCTATTCAGATGTTGATCTTTATAGCTCAGTCAACAGTTAAGTCTGCAGCAGCCAATGGATAAGGGACATCTGTATATGGGTCTTTGAAAACTGATCCTCTCTTACAGGGTCCTGCTGGGTCCCTTTGGCTGATGTCCTTCAGACTGATCTCAGACTGGAGGTTCCCCTGCCTTAGCCTCCTTAGTGCTAGGACTAAAGATCTGTGCCACAACAAGATTCTAACACTCAGAGAGGCCTCCCCGTGTTTTCCACTGCTCATGGTCCTTTGGAAGCCTGAGCCTCTCTGACTCCCACTCAGATCATTGTAGGTAGCTTATCCTGAGGCCTGTTGTTCACAGGGGCATTTGAGCCTAGGTGCTCAGGGCTTGGATCATGGGGCCCCTGTTTGCCAGCTCTCTTACAGTGTGATATTTGACATGAATATGAGATCTCAATTATCATAGGTAGTGTTTATATTAACTCAACACAGCGAGAGTCATTTTGGAAGAGGGAAACTCAGCGGAGAAATGATTCTACCACATCGGCCAGTGGGCAAGCTTGTGATACTATTTCTTTACTGAGGATATGGATGGGTTGACCTTACTGGGGATAGTACCATCTCTAGGTATATGGTGCTGGATGGTGGAAGAAAGCAGGCCAAACCAGCCATAGAGAACAAGCCAGGAAGCAGCGCTCCTCTGTGATCTCTCCTTCAGCTCCTGAGTCCAGGTTCCCGCCCTGAGTTCCTGCCTTGACTATCCTGGATGATGGTCTACAAGCTGTCAGAGAGAAATAACTCCTTTCCTCAACAGGTGGCTTTTAGTCATGTGTTATCACAGCAGTAGAAGCCCCAATTCAGACACTAGTGCAGTGATCTGAGCCTGGTGTTCAGTCCTTAGAAAGCCTAGAGGAGGAAACTTGCTGAGACTGAGCACCCCAGTCAGCCACGATCCCTGCCCTGGACTGCTAACAGAAGCATATCAACAGCCAGAAGCTGATGTACTTTGAGAGGCTCAGTAATGGCTTTGTATGACATCTCAGGGATTTTCTCAGGAACCAGACATTCTTTACTCTTCCCTTGTCACAAACACCCAAAAAATCACAGCAGAACCCACAGCACATGCTCCTGGTTTGTTTTCTAGGAAGAATCATACTCTCCTGAAGCTAAGTTCATCTTATAGTGGCTCTTGGGACTTTGTGGTCACACTGAAGCCAACACATCCCAAAGGCCTCTGGAGCCAGGTCTCCTTTTAAGTGGGCTTCTTCTGGTCCCTTCTTACGAAATTGGCTCTCTGCTCTGTTCTTTTTGCAGAGGTTACTTTGAAATGATTACACTGCACATAGCTTCAGACCCAAACAGGGACACCCTGACGTGGAGAACTGTCAAAAGTGAGCAAGTTTTTGAGCGATCCTTAACTCACAAGTGATACTCTGATCAAGTGGTCTGGGCTTCATTCACACTGGGCAGAACTGGCAGGGATGGCTCAGTCTGGGTTGCAAGCACTGACTGTGCACCTCCTGCCCTCAGACTGGTAGCTTGAACTCAGCCATGCGGGGACATTGTAACACAGGGATTGCTGGATGCTGTAAGAACCAGTCTCAGGTTCAGCAGCATGCCACCTTACGCACCTGCTGGAAATGAGGACCATGGAAGCCAAGTGTATTTCATGCCAGCCGCACAGTGCTTGATATGTGGTAAGGAGGACTTCTTAGAAGGGTTTGAGTCTGACTTCTGGGTGAGTGCAGAATAGGTAGCCGGCGGTGGAGCCACACTTAGTTACACGGATAAACACACTGATAGTACAACGGCTTTCAAAGGTACTCATCCATCCCTCAGAGCCTGTGAATCTAAGCTTCCTATATCAGGAGAAACTTTGGAAATGCAATTAACTATGTGGTCCTTGTACCAGAAGTGTGACTTGGGCTATCTGGTGGGCCCAGGCGTTTGTTTGTTTGTTTATAAGCTGTGAATCCTTAACAGTGAGTAGGAAAGCTTTCCTGGCTGAGTCAGAAAGATGCCAGTGTGCGAGGCAAACTTGTGAAGACAGAAGGGACCATGAGCCAGTGGCCACGCCAAGCAGAGAAACAGCCCATTGCTGATAGCTGGCAAGACAGATTGCTGAGGAAACCAGCCCAGACTTCACTATGAATTTAATCCACAGAGACCTGTGGCTCAGTAGCAGCATGCTTGCCTTAGCATGCATCAAGTCGTGGGTTCAATTCCCAGCACTATATAAACCCTGTATTGGTAGTCTCTGCCTATATCTTCAGCATATTGGAAGTCCAAGGTTATCCTCTGTTGCATAGGCAGCCTAGGGAATGTGGGACCTTAGCTCAGAAAGGGGTAGGAATAGGTAAGAGGAATCAGAGTGGGAGCTGATTCCAGAGGACTGGTATCAAGTGACAAGATGGAAACGATGACAGTTGTGGATGAAAGACATTGGGCTGCGAGTTCAGATGGCCACAGAGCCAGGTGGATCGCTGGCAATGAGTAGGAAGAGGGAGGAGGCAGCAGAGGGAGGGTGGTCATGGCGGTAAACTTCAGGGCCAAGGAGGATGTGAGATTAGCAAAGGCCTTTGGTCCATCTAGACAGTCCGCCTACATCAGGACTCTGCTGGAATACAGTCCCCAGTGACCAGAGAGTTTGATCTGGAATAAAAAGTCACCAGGAGCCTAGAACCTATCAGATGTCTAAGAGTGAGTGACAGCCTGTCTTCTGCATCTGCCCCCTCTCCTGGTCTCAGGGTTCTCCATCTACTCCCCCTTTGCAGTAAATTAAGGCCAGAGTAGTAACACAATTTGGCAGTACAGACTTGGAGGAAAAGGTAGGACTTGCGCTGCTGCAGCCTAAGCGGTTATTATGTAAAGGGAGAGCCATGACTATGCCCTCGAATCCACGCCTACCTCCAGAGAAAGAGAAAGATAGCACCTAGCTTCCTCCAGAACCCTGGCCTTGTTGCTGAGGAAACCAAGGGAAGGCAGAGGGGCCCAGGCTGACTGGAGGCTGCGACCCCATTCTCACTGCCTCCCGTTTTGCCTCCGCCCACTCGGACTTTGCGGGAGGAGGGCGATTACTTGAATTTCTTGTCAGAAACTCATCTGTGTGGACAGAGTTCAATATTTCTCTTCCCCCAAAGCTACTATCTACCTATCTATCTGGGGTAATTGATTCTTACTTTTCCTATAGCAGTAGATTGAGTTTGCTGAGGAAGCAATTCTAAAAGGTAAATCGCACAGACAGAAACAATCAAAGCTCGAGTGATTGCCCGCTGAGACTTCCCTCAGCAGGATTTTCCACCCGAAAGGGGTAGACCGCCATTCCTGACAAAGAGAACATGACCAGTCCATCCCCTGCTCAGAGCCATGAGAGCAGAGTCACAGGCTTCTGTTCCAAGTCAGGCTAGCTGGGTTCTAGATCCACCGACCTTGGATGAATCAATGCCCAGTGTCCTGAAGTGGTGCTGGAACAAATTACCCGAGGAAAAACAACTTAGAGAATGTTTACCTTTTGGTTTATAGTTTA